TTTTAGCTACACATTCTCCAAAGTTTCATTATTCAAAACATTGCTTTGAACAAATAATGGCCATCAAACAAGGGCTAAGTATGTTGCATCAAAAGGACTTTCGTAGAATTTATATGATCCTATCAAATGTGGCTATTCGGTCACATTGTGCTAGGAATTTTGTTAAATCAGCCAAATTTCGAGCTTTGGGTCTCATTATCTAGGCTTTACATGAAACTCATCTCTAAAACAAATATATGCAAATTGTGTACCATTTTTAATGTCTCGATTGGTACTTTGCTACTAAATTCCTATTTGGTACGAGTATTTTAATCTAAATCAAAATTAACAGTTCATTTCAACCACATATTTCATAGGTCCTTATAGCTTTTTAACCACATGTTTCATTAATTTTTATCCAAATTCATTAAAAATCTAATTTCAATCTCTACCAAATAAGAGCTAAGAATCATAATTTTTTCTATAAACCAACAAGTCTTACCAATGTCTCAAAGTAGATTGGACTAAGGACATAAGTTTTACTTTTTAAACTTTTTGGTCATTAAAATTTCATTCAATTATACCTCATAATAAAGCATAAAAATTCAATCTAAGTGCCACGATAATTTATTTCAATCGCATGTTTCCCTCTATTTCCAGATTAAAATAATTATAAATTGCATTAATTTTCGAGACATTTCAGATTGAACGAAAACTGCAAATAGAAAGGATAACCCTAATAAAACGATTAATGTGTCCAAATTTCATAGATTTTTTATCTCAACATTCAAAAACAGTTTTTAGTCATATTCCATTCCAGTTCAAAATTTTCATCATAACCAACGTCCCTAAGGACTTCTAAGCATACTGAGTAATACTAAATTTCTAAGCTCTCTCGCCCCTAATCTTCCTAGCCAACTGTATATCCTTAGGCACAATAGCGACACGTTTGGCATGAATTGCACACAGGTTGGTATCCTCAAACAGCCCCACCAAATAAGCCTCTGCAGCCTCCTGAAGTGCGGCCACGGCGGAGCTCTGGAAGCGAAGGTCAGTTTTAAAATCCTACGCAATCTCTCTTACAAGCCTTTGGATCAACACTTCAGTGCTCTTCTGGTACTTCTTGATTCCCTCAGTTTAACACCTTCAGTGTCCGGAGTCGATTTCCTCACTGCCTTTGTAGCCAGCTACTATCTCGGAGCCTTCCCTTCGGCGGATTTCCTAGCCGTTTGGTTAGTACCTGCCATTGGAAAATGAGATGTGATCGTGATGGTTATCAATAATGTTACGCCTTGCTACATAGACTCCATGTCACCGACCTTCTTAAGCCCTTGCAATGAAACCACGTGGATTATTGGAGTCTGTAGATCCGAAGTGTCGAAGCCATACTCATCGAAGCAGTCGCATACTAATGATGAAGCCCCTAAGACAAAAGTCAAAATCGAAGCCCAACCGCAACGACGACCCACACGTGAAGATCGTGAATTTATGAATGCAATCCTTATGAAATGATTGATGAGACCTTTGTAATAAGTAGAATGTCAAAGTTTTGTCAATTTAGTTGTAAGATAGTTGCTCTCCGTAAGAGCATTGTGTGTACCATAGGCTAGTGGATTAAAATTAACGTCGAGGATTGGATGCTTCGGTTAAGGAGATGAAGCCACGTATATTTTCATCCAATAGACATCATTTTATATGTAACACTATAGATACCCTCTCCTTATATCATTTAAAGTCTAATGCAACTCTAAATACTAATGGCTATTCTTTGTCTTCTCGCTTGCTTATTCCACACTCTTGTTTGTTGGATTTAGATTATTTTGCTTTAGTTGAGTTGTTGGTGATTGATTGACTATTGCTGTTGTTATTATTATTATTATTATTATTATTATTATTATTATTATTATGCAATCGCCCCTAAATATATTGTCAATGCCTAAATATTTTTGTCTCGTATCATAGAGCATCTCCCAAGTTCATATACGGTGACCTCCTCTAACCAAATTCTCGGTCAAAACATGTTGAAATTTACTTGCGTGGACGTGAATGGACTCGGTAGCTGATGTCCACGTCAAAATTACAAAAAAGAGGTCAACGAGTAATTTGAATTATTTGCTTGAGATTTATCTAAGAATTTGATTGTTTTTAAGTAATATTTATATGTTTCGATGAAAACAGGGAGAAGCGAGAGATTCAAAAATTTGGATATGGAGGAATGTTGGCTGTTAGATTGAATAAGTAACAGACGATGAAGATTTGTGATGTAGGAGGATCCGAGTCGAGTGATGCTAATTTGTCAGATAGCATAATGATGGCACTGAAATACCATGAGATGGCGGATCAACGTAAAGATGGAAAGTGAATCGCAATTATTTTCTTAATTGGGGGAATTTGACGCGTTTTTAGTAATTTGGTCATAACTTTGGCTACGGTTATCTGAATCGCTTTTATGACCCCAATCCGGAAAGCTCTCTTCGGCACGCACGTTGTGGCCACCAGCTATGCTTGGTGGGTGTCAATTTCGAGCCCAAAATCTACTGTTTTCCTTTCCAAAATTCAATTTTAAGTTATTTTTTACTATTTATGGTAATATTTCGTTTCCCTTTTTCCATATGTAAGAAAATTCGAATTGAGCCAAATTCTTGGCAACCTACTTCTTTTACTTAATATTTTATTCTAATATAATTTCGGGATTTTGCCATTTTTGGTAATTTTTCCATAATTTCGTATTTCGCAACTATTTAATCCAGCTTGTGGGTTAATTTTGGTCATTCTGCATTATTAATAATATTGAGTTGATTTCAGAGTATTTTCTCTGACTTTTGGACATTTTCTGTCGTTTTTACTTGCGAATCATCTGCTACAACAAGCCAATAGGATAATCACGATTCTACCCAACGTCAATTTGTTAAGGATTGCGATCCTCATTTGTTGTTAATGAACCAATGGGAGACTAGTACGTTGTGCTTTTTGGGATGAAAAGTTTAAACTGATCATTATGGTATCGGTGGTTCAAATATGGTCCAGTAGAGTATATTCTAATTTTTTTATGAGTTACGCTACTTGTAAATAATTGATAGACAAGATGATGATGTGGATAGAATTCTCTCTAATTTTTCTCTTTCTCTCTTTCACATCATCAATATGTAAATTAATTTGTACACAATTATATGCATATACCGTTACTCTTTTTTATTTTCTCTATATTTCTTTTTGTACTTTTGTTTTGAGGTTCCATTTGCATGCAATTATTTTCAAAATAAACTACATTTCTTATAAAAATTTGTATCCACGTTGTTTGCTAATTTAATTTTTATTTTATTTTATTAAAAATGACATGCACATTTTTTTCCCTCAACAGTGAAGCTGTTTTCGATTTCACCCTCCCAACTCAGTTCTTCGTCTTTAAAAATTTCCTTATTTGTTGCATTATACTCTTACTAGCCATTAATTTATTTATTTTTCTTTAATATCAAATTAACTACACAACCATTTTTAAAAAAACTTTTAAATGAGATGAGAAGCCATGAACGAAATAATTTAATGAGGAGTTGACAGTCCACCCTGTTGAGGTTGGGCACGACATTTAGCTCCTGTTTTGTTTGGACAAAAATTAGATCTTTAGTATATTACGATAATAGTTGATAAAATGTATTATTAAAAAGTTAACACAACAAAATGTGTGGTTGAAAATGAAATTGAAAAAAATAATAATAATACTAAGTTCTAAGAAATAGGGACCAAATGGGAGCTTAAGCTTTATATGTTTATCTAATAAGCAAATGATATATGATTCTACCATCTTTAGAGTAGCTAAAAAGTAAAAATCTAAATACAAATCAATAATTAATTTTAACCTAACATTTTATGGCAACACAACTTTATCAACTTTTCAATCACATATTTAATGAACTTTTATCAAAACCTACTAAAATCTAATTTTTAGATACACATTTGTCTCAAGTGGCCTGATTAATGTTGCAATAGAATGTGTTTGTACTTCTTAAGAATTAACATATGCTTAGTTATTTATGTCCCCATTTGAACCCCATTATTAGGCATTATAATGTGTTGAATAGTGTATTTTTGGAAAAATGGGTGGTTGAAAAAAGAAGAAATCTTTTTAGTTTATGTGTAATATTATTTTATTGAAGATTGTATGATTGAAAACAAGAGAGAGAAAATTTTAATTTAGTGTGATGAGAATTAATGAGAGCCAAACGGGGGACTGCATGTGTGGGTATAAGCCTTCAACATTAAACGATGTTTTCACTCTATTTTCATATTTAATTTCGTTCAAGCAACACAAGAATTAGACCGATATTAATGGTTGCAAGATAAAACTTTTGATAAAAAAATTTAGCAAATTTTGATAATAATTGATGAAATGTATGATTGAAAAGTTAACATCTCCATTTCTTTTGTTCTACTTTGTATACATCAAGGTTGACATCTCGGATAAAACTCTACACACATGAGAATGGGGCAACGATTGCCCCACCCTCAGGCATGTGGAGTGTCATCAAAGGTGTCAATCGGAACGTACACACAACATTATCTTGCAATCTCATTTTTCCAACTGTGGGCCCCCTTAGTTTGAATATAGGGAAAAGTTTATGAGACTTGATGTTTCTCATTTGACTTTTTTCATGAGATGCACAGTACAATATGTGCTACATTTCGTTTTTACCCTTCTATTCTATTTCCATAACAACTCAATGGATTGAGGATAACTACATAACTTTTTTTTGTGTTTTGAGGTGGTGTTGTGGTTATTCTCAAAATTTAAAAAAAAAAATTTATTTTTTTTTTGTTTTGAGAAACTAACAAAAAGAACGCATTTTCAACAATTTTAAAACAAACACTCAAAACACAAAACTCAAAATGAATTCAAAACTCAAAACACAAAACTGAAACACAAAGAGAACACCCCCTAAGCTTTTCCAAGTAACACTAATATTTATTTATAGATAAATAAGTTAATTGACAGTTACAAATAGATAAACAGAACTCCTGAACTGCTACTCGAAATATACTACTTCCAAATCATTTATATTAAGTTCTATTACATTCTACAAGAACATATGAACTACTAATATTGCATTCTTCAATGCAATTTAGAAGAAAACCAGCTGCCACAGTTTCTCTGCATTTTTTGTGATAAAACAACACCAAATGAGTCCTTGCAACAACTTGATGAGGTACTGGAATTTCATTTTTAAGCACTTTCTCTGTACACACGTTCTGCATGTCGAAATTTTCTTCATAACCTACAAAAAACATACAAGCGTGATAAGGTAGGCTATAAAGGCCTCTTGAAACAAAAATATAGCTACTTGTAAGAACATTTCTATGCATTCAGTGAAAAATACTTACTAAAACCATCTTTTATGTGCAGCTACTTCATTAGATCTGACCAGAGGTCGTCTCCTGTTTCGATTTTCTCCACTGACAGATGATGCATGCTTTGGTTTCAAAGTAGGAATTGTATTAGGCGTTTGATTCAGTGATTTCTCCTTTAAAGGACTCGTTGAACCAGACCTCAGATGCTGTTGTGCTGTTCTTCTCACTATACTAGTGCCGATCTTAGCCTGTTCTTGTTTCTGGGCTCTCGTTGAAGCTTTCTCACTATTATAAACTGAGATTTCTGCACTTCTGACTGCAGGAGATTGCACTTTGTTCCTAGAAGAAGTGTCTGAATCCGAAGATGAAGGGCTAGTCGTGCTGTCCATGTCATAAAGGACATTATCAGCCATTACAGGAAGTTGCTTCGTATTTGAACTTGGAGCAAAGAACGAAGGTCTTTGAAGCCTTGTGAGACTAACCACCTGTTTATATTTAGTCATAAATTGGAAATTAGATTTAAGATAAATTTATCTACACATTTCGATCTCATTAAGCATATTCATCATGCAAATGGTTGAACTTGTGATTAGAAATAATTACTATTTAGTACAATTGTCCCTTCTATTACTAGTACACTACAGACTTCATCAGGTGAAATTGAATCACTCACATTTCTTTATTGAAGTATTACTACTTCTGATAAAAATCGTAATGGAAAAAAGACGTTTACTGCATTGTTGCCATCCAGTACTAAACCGTACTGAATAATCGAGTCATGTGTAATCCACATTACTAAATAACGGAAAATATAAGTAGGCTTATAGTTCCTTCCTCACCTTCTGTTCTAGAATCAACATGTCCTTCCGAAGCTTGTTTATAATCATATTCTTTCTACGGATGATGTCTTCCAACTCTGAGATCCTCTGCTAGACACAACAAAATAACATATAGTTGGAAGGTATCACGAAGAGATTGAAACCAGCATGGAAGTGAATAATGTCACCTTTGAACTATATACTTCAGATGACTGAAGAAAAGTGGACAATTCCTTTATGGTGGCATCCTTCTCTTCACAATCCTTTCTCAAGTTACAGAGTTCTTGTTCAACTGCTAAAGTATCCAACTGTAACAAATGCAAAAAGATATGCCTATCAAAATATTGATTGGACACATTCATCTTTCACAGAAAATACAGAACCTAATGGACCTAAAGTTGTTCAAGGTCCAAGGCATAATTCTATAAATGAACTGTGCTTAAAACTCAATATAATAAAACGAGGAAAAACTGCAAAATGAGAATTTATAGTCAAGAATTTATGATCATAATTTCAACATCAATTACTCGAAACAAATCTTCGGCCACTCTACATTGAGAAACCTATTCATCTATATACTGATGCAAGCAAGCCTGATACTATACATATTTATCGTGGAACTTAAGGTCATCTTAAAGTAGGATTAAGACACTTCAAACAGAAAATTTTGCCCACCTGCTTGACATATGTAGTATTGGTAGTATATGATTGGATGCAAAACTGACTATTTTTAACGGTCCAATGATAGAATGTCATGTGGCATTATGTCAACGAAGAGGGCATATTTTTCTAGCAATGTAGCATAATTCATATGTATAACATCAAAACCTGTAATACCTGGATATCAACAGAAGAAGTGACACTAGGAGCGCAATCCGACCAGTCAGACATGCGACGCTCTTCTGGTTCAGCCTCTTTCACAAGTGGGATTTTATACTTGAACACCTCATCCTCATTCAATCCTTTTTCCACTGAATCAACCTAGCAAACAAATAAAGTATTCAAGCACTCATATTTAGGTTCCATAAATGGATTATTCTAAGAAAATTGCAGATGTCTTCTTAGAATAAAGAAACAGCTCTTTAAGTAATGTTTTACCAAAAATTGATGCTTGGGTTGTTCACAGAGCTTACAACCATAGTTGACACTTTCGCCGACCATGGTGTTGCTTGGTACCAGAACGTCAGGCTGATCCTTGAAATGATTCACTTGCTCACATAAAGTATCCAGCTTCTGTTGCATGCTTAAGAGCACCTGGTCCTGAAAATAATTTTTAAAAGAAAAATTGAAAATTAATTACTGAGATTAATTTAAACAGGTAGCAATTAACAAAAAAAAAAAAAAATAGATTCTTTTGTAAGTTGAAAATCAGAACGAATCAAGAAAATAAATTCATTTGCCACAGCAGGGTACAACATTTATAGCAAAATATACAACTTTGTCAATTCCCCTATTAATTAATTAAACAAATAAATAATCACAAAAAAGATGGCATAAATGAATATTTATTTACACACATTAACTTTGACAGCACGGTACAACTTTTATAGCAAAAGGTCCACATCGGCATTCCATGAATTCAAAAGACATGATTAGATACACAAACGAAAAAGTTAACATAAATGCTTCTTTATTTAAAGTCTCATTAATTTTGACAATAAAAACTAATTAATTAAAAGAAGAAATATAATGAACAAATAACAAACCCTGAGTTCTACAGATTTTTTCAGCTTCAAAATCTGTTTATTTTTCTTCGAATTCGTAGCCGCAACCGCAACAACAGCCACAAGCAAAACCCTTTGAATGGGGCTAAACAGCTCCCAAGCCACAGCTTCTTTAGGACTCAATACACCATTTTTATCAACGGTCTTAGCAGAGCTGGCTTCCTCGGCTCCAACGAGCCGATCCTGGAGGGACACCCAAGCAAGCTGCCTTCTGGCTTTAACGGGCACATTCGGCTGCATAAAACAGCTGGAAAGCCGGCGTGGAGAGGGGGAAACTGAGTAAGAAAATGGGGTTAAAGATACTAGGGCGGGTGGTAAGCAGGATCCAAAGGCGGGTTCCAGTTCGTCCAAATCCATGGCTTGGAGGAGCGTGATTGAAGTTACTACTATTAATATTGATTTATGAAGATTTTTTGGGAAATCTTCATTTGGGATTTGTTTTCCTTTGCTGAATCTTTAGGGTTTTGCTTGGAATTTGAAAAAGATATTCAAATTTATATTTGAGAGGGAAAGTATGTGGAGTGAATACAGTTCAAAGACACCTGGCTATGGACTACGGACAATGTATGGAGTTTATAGCCTATAGCCGTTGGCATTTTCTCTCTTTTGAATTTAAACTTTCTTGTTTTTGGAATTTTGCTATTTTTTTTTTCTTTTCTTTTTAGTTTAGCGTTTTGCTGGACGCGAAGAAAATTATTGCAGATTTTGTATAATTCAGAATAGAGATCACTTCTTCACACGTGGAATTAAACTCAAAGTTCAAAAAAAAAAATCATTTTATACATCTCTATGGAGGTGAATATTCTTCTCTGACTAAAAAGTTATTAAAAAGAAAAATAATTTATTATATTTTCAATGGGTAATTTTTTCCACTCAAAAACCCAACAACAAAATAAGAAAATGAAATATGAAAAACAAAAATGTTCATCTTCTTTCACCCACCTTTACCCAACCACAAACACGTTTAAAGTACCACTCCCATTGAACTGTTGAAAAATCTCGTCCAAAAATCTACTAATCATTTTCTATTCCATATGAGTGAGCAAGAGGAAGATTTATCTCTAATGATCTTTGTATCTGCTAAACTTGAAATGCTTTGAATGAAAGAATGAGAACTACAAAATTGTATAATCCTATATAACTAACATTTTTTAGATAATGTAGTCTAGACCTCCTCAAAAGTAGATTCTATAATACTATTTTCATCCGTTTCATATTTTGCACTTCTCTTTACTCCAATCGTTTTCATTTCACTAATTCGACTAACATTTTTTAGATAATATAGCCTAGACCTCCTCAAAAGTAGATTCTATAATGCCATTTTCATCCGTTTCATATTTTGCACTTCTCTTCACTCCAATCATTTTCATTTCACTAATTAGCAAGAAATTAATTGAAAAATATTATACTTCTCATATGAGAAAGAAAACCCATTATTTATGCATTTGCAATATCATATTAACAAAAACGAAATTTATTTTGAAAAAGTTCATTTATGTTTTTCTTTCTAAAGAGATGTTATTAGAAAAAAAAAATCTAGTCATGTTTGTTTATCATCTTGTTTCTCATTTTTAGAAGAAATTAAACCGTTGATGGGCCCTACTTGGCCCTTTTTGTGACTGGCCTCTCATATTGTTGGGAATGGGGTTGGGCAAAAATCAACTCAAATCGATCAACCCAACCCAAATTGACTAGTTTGGGTTAGTTTTTAAGTTCAATTGGGTTGGATTGGATCGAGTTGGAAAAATCAAATATATGCATTTGCAATATCATATTAACAAAAATGAAATTTATTTTGAAATAGTATGAAAAAGTTCATTTATGTTTTTCTTTCTAACGAGATGTTATTAAAAAAAATCTAATCCTGTTTTTTTGTCATTTTGTTTCTCATTTTTAGAAGAAATTAAACTGTCGATGGGCCCTACCTGGCCCTTTTTGTGACTGGCCTCTCATATTGTGGGGAATGGGGTGGGCAAAAATCAACTCGAATCGGTCAACCTAACCCAAATTGACTAGTGTGGGTTAGTTTTTAAGTTTAATTGGGTTGGGTCATGTTGGAAAAATCTAATTTAAGATAGTTTGGATTCTTTTCGGGATATGAATTAAAATCTAATTCAACCTAACCCTATCAAATCAAATTTGATGGATTAAAAAATTTATATCTAAAATAAAATAAAATAAAACCTATAATTAAACACAATTTGTGGAGACAAGAGAAAATTTTGGAATATACAAATGTCCCCCTTTTTATATGCTTATCAGTATGAATACTATGTACAAATACAAAATGGTATGACTATAAACTAAAAATTAAGGACGTGATAATAAAATAAATAAATTCTAAAAAAAATAACAAATAAATAAATATTTTTTTTAGAAAAAAGTTCCTTGTCTGGATTAAAAATAACAAAAAAATTTCAAGTAGTTTCACATTTTAAAATTTGTTCAAATCCAACAAAAAATAACCGAATCCAACTTGAACTGTGTTCAAACCCAAACTGACTAACCCAAACCAAACCAACCTAAGCTTGATTGGTTTGGATTGAGTTGTGTTAAAACTAAGAATTGGATTTGGCTTATTTGATTTTAGATCAAATCGATCATATTGGCTTAGGTTTGAGTTAAATAAAAAACCAATTCAACCCAGCCCAACCCTAGGCTGGTGAGTAACAAGCTTTCGATGGTAAAAAAAATAAAAAAATCATTGTCATATAGAATAAATGGGAAACAAACGTGGATTCTATATGTTTCAATAAATTGAAATACATAATATTGAGTTCAGTAAATAAGGGGCAAGCAACAATTATGTTATGCTCCTGCATCCTTGTGGCTGCAGAAAAATTGCTACATACCCATTTTGCCCTATTTTATTTATTCCATGTAATTTCGAATTAGGCTATGTTTGATAGCCCATTTTTTTCCATAGAAAATGGAAAACAAATTCCAACTTTCATTTTTGGCTTATTTGATTGACAAAATTTTTCAGGGAATTGATTTCCCCACTTTGACCATCACATCAACATTTTCTTGGTTTTCATGGCTTTTCAATTCCCACCAAAATGATGGGAATCGGTTTTCCATGTTTTTTTTTTTTTTTTTTTGCAATTGAAACAAATTTTAGGAACAATTGTAAAAGGTGATATAAAGTAAATTGACAATTTTCATGTAAAACAAAACTAAACAAACACCAAAAGATAGATGATTTTTGGATTTTTTTGGTTTTTTTGGAATTTTTTTTTTTTTTGGCAATGAAAACAAATTCTATGAATAATTGTAAAAGATGATATCCCTTAAATTGACAATTTTCATGAAAAACAAAGTCAAATGAACACGAAAAGTTACTTTTGTTTCAACATTTTTCAGGTAAAAAAATTATACCAATCAAACACAATAATTGACAATTCTCAGTAAAACAATTTTTAGGCAATTCATTTCCCTGAAATTCGTTTTCTTTCCACCTAAATTTTATCTTTGTAATCAGACGGATCCTTATTAAATTTTATATTTTATATTTATATATTTTTATAGTTAAATGTTTGAATATTGATTTTATAATAGGTCTTCAAGGTATATTAAAAGAATATCATGACATGTTTTCAATGGTAAGATTTTTGTATTGCAACATCATTCCAATTTGAAATGTCAAATGCCACCGGTAAGTATTATTGTTTCTTAAATTAAGGTGGGCGGGTGGAAAACTAAAAACTTTTTTTTTTTTTTTTTTTAATATGTATGCATATGTGTGTAAAAGGGCAATTGTATTGCATCCACAAAAGTATTGACCATTTTCGATGGATTTCGTCAAAAAGGACCATTTGCACCAAAAATCAAAAGGTTTAGAACCATCTTTGCCATAGTTGAAAGATTTGGACCAAAAATGAAATTTAATCAAATATTTGAATCTATTTACACCAATTTCACTTTCTATAACAAAAAATTAAGTACTAAATAACAAAAAATCACCAGATTTTACAAAACAGGGGGTAGAAATTGGGAGCTTTTGGAATGACAAATAAGTACAACAATTATATATGAGATTTGTCTGGCTTGTCTACACAGAGTAACTAGTTCAAGGACTTGTCCACTGTGCTTTATTTTTTTTTAATCAAATTTGACTAATTTTCACTAAGTAGATGTTCAAGTCAAGATATATCTCTATTAGAGTTATTCTAAGTGTACGGTCCACCTAGAACTGTACACTTACAGCCTTCTCACATGAGGAGGCCCCACTTCGGTAAGTGGTAATTGGTTAATATGCGCCTTATAAATATAGTAATTGGCTATTTGTACAATTCCCTTAATAGTGACATAGATATATAAAAGTTTACGAAGGACTTAAAGTGTCAAGAACACATGATACATGCCTGATAATCATGTTCTCAATTAAATTGCAAGGACCATTATATGGATTGAAACAAATCGGGCGCATGTAGTAGAATCGCTTTAGTGAATATTTTTTGAATGAGGATTATAAAAATGATGATATCTGCCAATGTGTTTTCACAAGGAAAATAAATATTTGATTTGTAGTTGTGGCAGTTTATGTCAGTGATTTAAATTTAATTAGAACTTTAGAAAAATTTAACAAAATTGCTTATTATTTTAAAAATGAATTTGATATGATAAATTTGGGAAAAGCCAAATTTTATCTTTTGTTGCAGATTGAACACTTCCCAAAAGTACTATTTGTTCATCAATCTACATATACAAAAAGAAGTTTTAAAATGTTTTATATGGATAATGCACATCCATTTGCATCAACTTGGTTGTTCGATTACTTGATGTGAAAAATGATTTATTTCGTTCACTTGAAGATGGAGAAAAGATTCTTGGTCCTGAAGTACCATATCTTTGTGCAATTGAAGTATTAACTTATTTTGCATATTGCACTCGACCCGACAAAACTTTTTTTATAAATCTCCTTGCAAAATATTATTTTACGTCAACTCAAAGACATTGGAATGTCGTTAAATATATATATTTTTTTTTTACCTAAAAGACACTATTGATTTGGGATTATTCTCAAAAGTCAGAATCCTCTTTAGTGGGATATAGAGATGCAGTTATCTTTTTGATCCACATAAGCTAAATTAGGAACAAGATATGCGTTTACACGTTGAAAAACAACTATATCATGGAGATCTGTGAAGCAATCATTGAAAACAACGCCCTCAAATCATTTTAAAATTATTAAAATCCATGAAGCAAGCCGAGAATGTATACGATTAAGGAACATGACCAATCATATCCAAGCATCATGCAAGTTATCTTCAACAAAAGATAGTCTAACAATTTTGTATGAAAACTGTGCAACTTGTATTGCACAACTCAAAAGAAGCTATATCAAATGTGATGAGATGGAGCATATTTCTTCAAAATTCTTTCTTACACATGAGTTTCAAAAGAATGATGACAATGATGTTTAAGAAATTCGCTCAAGTGACAATATGACCGATTTATTCACAAAAGTACTGCCAACGTCTACGTTCAAGAAATTAGTTTATGAGATTGGAATACATCGACTCAAAAATTTTCAGCGATCTACAT